GGGGGGGGGGGGGGGGGGGGGGGGGGGGGGGGGGGGGGGGAGAAAAAATCTGGAGAGTGCGGGCCCCGTATAAAAAAGGCGCGCGGATGTTGTCCCTCTGGTTTTCGGTGGACGGACGATTGCACAGGGCGCACCAGGATTCACTCATCAAACCATTCGCTTCCCCCCCACGTTACGGCTCCCGCCCTCGCCGTCGCGCTGGCCCATTCCTGCTCCAACTCCGCCTCGCCGCACTGACACCGACACCAGTCTAGCTCTTACAGAATCGACAACGTCCTCCTCTCCCTCCCGACTGCGAGTTGATAGCGGCTCATGGCCATATGCTTCTCTGGCACCACCTGGGCTGCAAGACGTGGCCCATGGTGGCGACGGTAATCCATCCCACCCATCTGACCCACCAGCTCCTTCGCTTGCAAAGGAGGTCCAAGCCCACCGCAAGTCTGATTGCTGCACCACATACACCCTGCTGGCCGCCATGCAAGTACGCCAGCGAGCAAAGCACCGTGCTCGTGACGCCAGCGTCCAAACCGCCTCGGCGACCCGAATCAACTCACCAAGCTGCACGCGCCACGACGGGAATGAAGAAGGATGAAGACGCCAACAGGGGCCTACAGAGGCCCACCGGGATAAGTGGACCACAGCTTGACCATGCTCTGGAAATCGAAACCCCTAGATGACACCCTCTTCGTGAGCGACCTCTCGAACGGTCAGAGGACACGAAACAGAGGAGAAAGAAACGCGTTTCATTCTTGTGTAGATGGAGAGATGTGGCTTGCGATTGAGGCGCGGAGCCACTGCGATATGTAAGATGGAAAAAGCAAGACATCCCAGGGCCCACTTCCCGCAACGTTCCAATCTTCCGCCATCCCAATCTCACCGCAATCCAATGGTTCAATCTCGCACTCTGGACTAGCCTGTTGTCCTCGGCCAAGCGCAAGGCCCATACTTCTGTCCCCGGGCCATTTGGCATCAACACAGTAGCTCTATATGATCCCCCCCGGATGTCCGAACGAATCTCGACGTGAACATCGCAGCCACCGCGCGTCCCCGGATTGAGCAGATCGGATGTTGCGGACCGGTTGGCGGGAGTAGCCATAGACGAAAGACGAGGGATACGGCGATGGGGGTTCTCGGAGACGAGGACTTGGATGACGGGCTACGTGGCGGGAAAAAGGCGAGACGATCGACGAGCCGGTCAGGTCGCGGTATCGCCCCCCTGCCTTTCCTGCCGACGGAGACGGAGACAGCAATGAAACCCATCAACAATGGTGTGTATCAGGGCCTATTTACTTTTTTTCTGGAAGGTGAATCCCGATGTGGCGATATTTCCCTGTTTCCTCTCACACTCCCCTCTGTACCAGACTTCCATGCCACAGATATCCAGGAGGGCAACGACGACGAAACGATGAAAGGAAAGCTCATGCTCCGCAATACCCGAGCCGAGAACTCCATCGAAGGAGGTCCAGAAGAGCCTACAGCACGTCTCGTGTATCGCGGGGCATGGGCTTTTGGGGTGTCGACGACGACGGGCCACATTGCTGCGGTGAGCGGCAGATGTCCCCCAAGCTTCATTACTCATTTTTGGTACAGCCCCCCGCGACTTTCATGCGTATATATCCGATATCGTTCGTGCCAGCCATCATTTTAGAAGAAGGTTCGCACGCGAACCCTTTTGCGAGCAGCAGCGCCAGAAGATCCAAGACGTGACGGTGGGGGCAGAAGCACGGACTCAGACTCTCAGGATATTATTTTAGAGTAAGATTGCCCACTCGATGACGAGTGTTTGAGGAGGGAGCGGAGCGGCAAGGAAGTAAGTAAGTTAGTAATTTGGGGCCTGGGGCGGATAGTTTGTGAGAAAAGAACGCAAGGGACAAGAACAAAATGTAGTGTACGTCATGCCAAAATAGGATTATTCTCCTACCGCTTCCCTGCATTCTTCTGCTTCCCAGTGACGTCCATGCTCACTACAGGGATCGCACCTGTGACCTTGGCGTCTCACTATTAGCACCACGCTCTGACCGACTGAGCTAAGCGAGCAAGTTCGGCCTTATTCGCAAGTTTGGCAGTTTTCGCAGCCAGAACCTTTAGCCAAAAACTGAAACTTCCGCGTCATTTCCCAGCCCTCTTTCCTTTCGTCTTTCGCTCAGCTTAATGGAAGCAGTCGCAGCGAGGCCTGAGAGACTGACATTGAGCTTGTCGAAGGCACTATTTAGTCGTTACAGGGTCGAGTAGCTTTACTTGCTGTGTCAGGGAGGCGGGCGGGGGCAGATCCTTCCTCACCTCCACCTTCCCTCCCTCACCGGAGTTCACAATCAGGTCCATCTGCCCCCGTCCCGCTGTTCCGAAGCATAAAATTGTAACTTACTAATGAGGATGTGAAGGCAGCCTTGAGTTTCTCGAAGGCCGAGGAGGCAGAGGAGGACCAATGGAAGGGATTGTCTTTGCTCGTAAGTCGGGTCAGATGGGCAGCGATGGAGGAGTAGTCCTTGATGAACCGTCGGTAGAAGTT